TTCTCTTGCCGAACGAGTCTAAAGGCGCAGATAAAAGAAGATAGCGAAGGGGGCGAGGAGGACTACGACTTGGGACGAAGATAAATGACATAATATCGCAGTGGACCTCTGCGATCATTGCGCCACCCGATGGAAACCCGAGTCAAGCCGTGAGAAAACTGCCACCAATGCCGATTGGTTCACAATCCTCTTTTCGTTTCTCTCCAATTCCCTTCCCCATTGCCTCTCCCTTCTGCCCCCCGGGCCGGGCACTTCGGTAAAAACTCTACATCCCTTTTCTGTGTTACTTCCTTGGGAGACAACAATGAAATTCGTCGAATCCTTGATCAGCGTCGGGTGGGACTCCGCTACACTCGTTGCGAACGAGCACAGGGATGGAAAAAAAGTATAGGAAACAGCAGGAAGATTGGCGTTTTTTCCCTCCTTTTTCGTATCGCTATAGTGGGCGCCATTTTCTGTCGCAACCCATCCACTCGGTGTACTCCAAAGCCCCGTTTGGAATAATCTAATTTCATCTGGGTGTACGCTTGCTTCGCCTCTCCCTCTCTCTCTCTCGCTCCTCCACAGCTAGATAAATTTTTATTGGTGCTGAATCGCTACGGAAGCGCCAAGCCGACTCACCCACTTCACCTCAATCCAGCGACACTGGGAATCCCCGGCTTCTACCGCCCTGTGAATCGACCAGTGAGCCTCGTTAATACGCCTTTAAAATAGCATCCCGGTTATTCAATATTCCCCAAACATTTTCACTCAATTCGCAGTCACACGCCCGGCATTATTCCCTGGACGGAATTATTTTCACCTTATCCCTCCATTTTCTTGTATTATAATTTCATAAAGGGAGGGGGGGGGGAGATTGGTTGGGAGATTAGGTGGGGAGTGGATTCTGTTTCAGTTGAGTCTGGGGGGAGTTGATAGGAGATGGCGCTGAACGTTTGGATGAGTGAAATGAGGTACTTCTCACCAGTACACAGGTACTTGACGCATGATACTTGCATCAAGTTGTTTCGTAACTTTGAGGAAGTACAAAAATGTGCCTTTTCCCCAGAACCCCCTTAGTACTGGGTACAAGTACTTTTGCTACTGATCAAAAGTAATTTTTTTTGGGTGATAGCTAAAGTACTTCTATATCCTCAAGATGAGCTCTAAAAATCTCAACTTGAAACTCTCAAAAGTCTAAATTTGAAATCGTAAATCTCAAAAAAAGCTGTTTTCCTTGGGCGTGGGACGTTTTTTCCCACCGCCTCCACTTTGATACCGTCTCAGTTATTCAATATTCCCCAAACATTCCCACTCTATTCGCAATATCACTCCGTGCATTATTCTCCCGTCGGAATTATTCTCGCTTTCTCCCTCAACTTCTTATATTATAACTTCACGAAGCGAGAGAACGGATTACCCCAGAGATTAGATGAGGAGTGAATCCTGTTCCAGCTGTTGAATTTATGGAGAACTGATACAAGATAATGCTGACCGTTTGAATAAATAAGCGTTAATTTAAGACGATTAGGTGGAGAGAGATTTGAGGCGGAGACGATTCGTTCTCCGTCTCACTTACCCTTTTATAAATTGAATGGCCTCTCCGTGATACGAGTAATGAGTGGTACAGCACACAGTACCGAGCGTGAATTAACTCAGCCGACTATGGTATATGTTTTCTCGGTCATCTTGCGTACGTTAGAACGAATTGTTTATACGTCAGTGGACGCGTTGCGGAGCGAAGAAGTTTCAGTATCACAGCGAGGGAGGCGGTTACTCCGGGCGCTTATTAAGTTAGTCCCGCCGGATTCTTATATAAGGCAGGACGATTTTTTGCCAACTGCCCCAGCCTCTACAACGTACGAATTACGAGCCAACGACGTCCCTCTGCGACGCTCCGGGTAAAAGTAATAACAGTGAAACGGTCTATGTACGTGACTGGTGCTTAAGGATATTTTTTTTTTTTTTTAGATGCCCGCTTGGGCACTGGGAGGCGAGAGTCATGGGCTTGACGGTGCGCGAGCTGCGTGAGGGGGGTAGGAAAACGCACCTGATAAACGTGAATCTGATCTGCGGCCGGTGGGTCTTATGTACACCGTGGAAACGCAGGGCGATGCCGTTCGTGATAAGGGACAGACCGCACGCTGGGATCTTGAGCGTTCGGCTTATTGTTCATGCAGGATGATGCGCGATAATTAGATGATTGGTTTGCGGTTACGTATTCCGGGGAAAGTATGGGGTTGAGGGGAGCGCATTGGGTGGTATGGGGAGAATGGGGAGTGGACGGAGAGAAGTCAGGGAAATATTCTAGCGCGGCACTGAAAACGAGGCGCGAACGGCCAAATTCCAGTTTGGTATTCGAAATGAGAATGAAAATTCTGGATGGGCACGGGACATGTTGGTGTGTGTTCGGTAATTTTTGCAAGGAAGCACGAGAGAAAGTGTAGAGCTGGCGCTAGAAAATTTCCGGGTGTGGAATTTTGTGGAGAATTGCGGAGAGAATTGAGAAATAAATTTTATTAGTTCTTGAAAACATTAGAAATTTTATTGTGCAATTGGAAAATTTTTCTAGTACCAGCACAGGAATTTTCCACAATCTTTCTATCCTCGTACGTGTCCGCCCGACATCGGCAATGTTCGGCTCGCCGAACTGAACCGAACAGCCGCACTCGGGGGTCTCGAGTTGAGACTTAGAGGACGTCTTCATGTCTACGTCGAGCAACGTTAGCACACATGCTGCAGAATTTTGTGGAGAATTCCGAAGCGAATTGTGTGAACAGCTTTATTAAATTTTTGATAATTTTTTAATTAAATAACGGATTGAATCCCCCGAATATCCGACCGAAGTTGCAAGTCAAATGTCCATTCACTAAATAAAAATCAAGTTACTAAACCCACGGCTGCATCACCATTCATTTCAATTCAAGACATCAACCCCTTGTCTTACATCTGACGTCTAGAAATTAAAATACCTTGCGGCCACTATTCGTCACGTTGTACTCTTGCTCCATCCCCCTGTGTATTACTTTTTGCCCCCTGTGATATCCTTTGTACCACACCACCCGCATGTGTCCGAAATGATAAGATAAAGAAAGAGAGACGTAAAATGCCGTGGGGTAGTAGGAATGTGTGGCACCGGCTGGTGTGCATTTTCCCTCAGAAGGAATGAAAGAGGAACAAAAAAATTTGAAATGGTTAACCCTGGGTGGACCACCAAGGATCTCTGTAGTGACACACAAACACGGATAGCTACTATTTCTCGAGTGGAGATGCTGGTCTCAATGGTGACGTTAGTGTGACCCGGGCAATACTCCTAGTCGTATAAAAGCCCCAGCTTCCACCAGACGTCTTCCATTTGTGTCAATATGCTCGAACAAATGTGCAGAGAGGAAAATTGAACAGAAAAAATTTTCTGGGGGACAGAGGATGGGGGATGAGCACTAATTGAACACTGATAGGAGGTTTCATTTATTACATTCAACAAAGTTGAGTTGATTTAGGATTTTAAACCATCAAGTATGACGTCCGCATGAAGAGAGAAGTTGGGTAAAAACTGGGGGTGAAGTGGAGGAGAGCGTCCACAGTCCAAACCTCTGATTTTTGTCGAACATCCAATAAAAATATTACTTATTTTAAAATTTCAAAGGTCTGGAAGTAAGATTTTCAAAAGTCTTAATCAGAAGCCTGAAATTCTCAATTTAATTAATTTAAGACTGTCCTGAGTTGAGACTGTCATAGATTCAAGTTGATACTTTCAAATGCCTCAAGTCAAGACTGACGAAACTCAAATTGAAACTTTGGAAAGCTCAAATTAAGACTTTCGAAAGTCTCAAATTGAATTTTCCGAAAGTCTCAATTCACGATCTTTGAAACCTCAAAATAAGATTTTCTTTCCGGATAACACCCATGTACATTTAAGAGAACAACCTCCCCACGTCTCCATCAAATTTCGCCCACTGACAATAAATAAACTCTCCCATCACTTAGGGCTTTGTACCTCGAGGTGATTTTAATTAATCAGAATTCTAATTCCACCTGTTCAGTGGGTCTCTAAAGTCATTGACAGCAACGAGCTTTAGCACTTGGATGACCAGGGTAATGTCGTGCTGGTGATAACAGTGGGCTGCAAGTGGGTGGGATTAGACAAGGGACGAGAGAGAGAGAGGTGCAGAGGTCGTGTTAGACGCCAACTCCCGGGCTTTTGCACCATCACGGTAACACGAGGCATCCGCGCTTAGATCGCTAGTTCCTGGGGTTGAAAGCTAGTTTGGCTATCCCATCCTGCACCCTAATACTGCGAAACATCTTCCCATTTTTTTCCACCCCCTCCCCCTCCCACGTACAACAGGGTTTGCATTATTAGAATTTCCGGGTGACGACGTGGTTGGGGAATTCAATGTAGAGCGCAAAAGAAAAATGTGGTAAGATCAATATAAGGAGTTATGTGCGGCATGGAACATTTTATCGCATCAGAACACTAGCTTAGGTGGTGGAGGGGGATGGAAATCACGGCCTCTTGAACATTCAAAGTGTCCCATTTCCGCTGACCCGCTGCCCATAACCCACTTGGTTCCCTTTTCCCTTCCATTTTTTTTATTATATCTGCATTGGTTCGGCGCCCCCTTTTTTTATTACTTAATATAATATGAGAAAAGCTGCTTCTGCGGGGTATTCCGCAGTGTCCATTTTACGGAGGACCTCTCAGTCAGCCGTGGGTAATATATGAGGTAATAAAGCACTGAAAGCATGCCTACTATGATCGCTCCGTATGGATATCACAGCGTATACATGGTCATGAAAAAATTTCATTCGTCTTTAATCTAGATATTTTATTATTCTTTCTTTTACGATTCTGGGGGAGGTTTTTTATGATTATCGATTGATCATTATTTTGGATGGGAGGAGGGGACATGTGGGTCAATAATGTGCACCTGTTGAGGATAGATGGGTGGGGCATGCCGGCTGGGTTTGAGGGGTTTTTCTTTTCTCTTTGAGAGGGCGGATTTTAATGGGGTACTCACGTGTGATCCTTGAGGACAGTTTCAATTTTATTCGTCGTCACGTTCCAGATGAAGACGGAGCCATCGACTGAACCCACGGCTATATACTGGCCGTCGGGGCTGAAGGTCGCTCTCGCCCAGTCGCAACCCACTTTGAATCCATCAGCACTGCAAGGCGAATGTAAATAACAGAATGATGAGTTTGCTCTTCTTTGATGGATGGTGCAGTTTGACAGGGAGAAGGGAGTAATAATTATTGAGTTATGGAGGGGGCTGTAATTCATCGGAATCGTTCGGGTTTTGCGTGGGGGACAGCTATTCGGAGCATGGGAGTAAGCTTTTTTTAAGTGGGGGTTAATGAAGTTTGAGATTTATTGAACAGTTTCTATCAATTCGCGGTTTATTTGGGGATAATAATGGGGTTGGGAGTCGGGGGATAGTCGCGGGAGGCTTGAGTTGGCGATTTTTATGTCTTCAAAGCCTTAAATCAAGAATTATGAGAATCTTAACTTCAAACTTCCGAAAGCATTGAATCAAGACTTCTGAAAACGTCTTGATTCCAAACCTTCAACTTTAACTTCAACTCGGGACTTTGCAAAGTCTCAGATAAAAAATAATGTTAATCTTGACTTCCGACTTCTGAGAAGTTTCACTGAAAACTTAAAAGTCTTGAATCGGGACTCTCGAATGTTTTAACTTAAACCAAATGGTAGGTTGGCTCTCCTTTGACGATTGATGTATTTAATGCGGAAAAGGAAATAATAATTATTAAGTTATGGAAAAGGCAATAATTTACCGGAATCGATCATGTTTTGCGTACACAGCCATTTATTCGGAACACGTGACTAAGTTTTTGAAAATAATTTTCAATAAATTCTCAGATTTATTGAACATTTTCTATCAATTAGCGTTTTATTAATGGATAAAGACACAATGTACGTTCTCCGTATGAAATGGGCTAATTAAAATCCACAATTTGAATAATTTAAATGAGTTGCTTATCGAGTTTCAATGAACGGGTAATTAAGGATGAATGAATTCACGGTGAATGTCTCGATTTATCCGATGGTTGGAGTTGAAAAATCATACATTCAGTACACAGGGAGAAAGGACATAATTGAATCTGACTTGTAACAGCGTTTCGGCCTTAATATTTCAACAATCGAGGAAACTTGATTATAGTATATCATTATATTGTCATATTACAAGAAAGATTAGTCCTTCGGGGAAAGTGGAGTGAACAGAGCAATTTTCACTCGATGCCCCATGCAATTTGCAATGAAAAGTGGAATCGCATGTTTATTTGTAAGGGTCTATCAGCCGATCGCGTTACCCCACCACAAATTATTCATTCAATTCCTACAAATTGAGTTCACCGAAATCCTCTTTGTAGGTTTAGTTTCAATGATAATGCCAGCCTAACTAACCTGAATGATCCGACAATCTGCTTCATACGGAGATCAAGCAGCTTCACGGTGTCATCTCTCACGCAACTGAGCAGGTAATTGGCATCTGAAAATAAAAATAGATGCAGGTATTATTATTGATGATAATAAAGCAGCGTTGTGAGATGAGATAGCGTGATGACCTCCGGCTGATATCAACTTGGCGGTTGGACTTCGTGATAGCCATGACAACGAGTACAATGGCTACATTGCAATTATAATTTAGTTATCGTCATTCGTTTCTCGGCAGAGCTCGATAAATTGATGGATCGTTATCTTGAAAACGGGGAATGGTCAACTTTTATGGTCAATATTTAGGATAATATTTTGTACGATGAGAGGACTTGATATTTTTTAGTACGAGACATACCAGAGATAGAAACGTCTCGGAAGCACTTGGGAAGAGGCTTCCCAAGACCTATCCAGTTCTGAATGGAAAGACCTAAGTAGAACTTGTCAGGTCCAATTATTCGACTCGGGTGTCTTCTGAGTGTAGACCCGTCCAAGCGTGCTCCCGCGGAGCACGCGGTAAAAATAGACCTCCACCAAAAGTCCTGTGATTGCAGAACTCTCTCCACGTTGTATCTGATATTTCCGATTCCCTATCATAGACAAAACATTGGGAATATACATTGAAGATGCTGGGGCGGATGATATCTCACATTCGGCATCGGCCTCTTCAATCAAGCCACTCGGAGCGCAGCCCTAAATAGACTGGGGGAATACGACAGGCATTCGTATGATATCCACGCCGTAATTACACTTTGAAAATAACGAAAAACAAACTGATGGGGAAAAAGTAAAAATCCGTTTCGGGGATTTCTCTACACACATTGCCAGACGATGAAACATAAATTGCTTTTTTCCGCTGTTATATCTCCCGAAGAAATCCCTTCGATTCTAATACTCCTCGAGAGACGGTTGGACAGAATCGTAATTTATTTTTCGAGATAGCTAGAAATAATTCATGGAACTTTCTCCATCCCCCAAATCGCCGAAAAAAGCTGCTCTCTGACGAACTAAATGGAATGTCAATTTCCACTCTGGCAGTAATAGCTGACAATGTGAATTTAATTAATACTCATTGCACATCCCAGCGCAGTGCTCATCTACTTTGCGCCTGGCATAAGTCCAAAAGTCATCTGTTTCATGTTCAACAACCATCACCTACATTCAACCTGACGATAAAGGTTAAACGTCAATATGTCATATTTCCTTTGTGCCATTCTCCGGGATATATTGTTCCAGCCCGACTGAAAGCTCTACCCACACTTGAAAAAAAAAATCTAATTTTCGCCATTCAAAATTTTTCAATACTCTCTGTGATGAATTTTTTTTCCCCCACAGTAGTGCTAGATATGACATTTCTTGCGTCTACAGAGAATGCAACTTTTTTTTAACTACTAAATCTATTTTTGCGACAAAAATTTTTCATTCCAGCGCACTCTCTGCATGTTTGGCACAAAAAAATCCTTTTTTGATAGTTTTCAAAAAACTATTTTCTTGTCGTTTATCTTGTCGTTTTTCTCTCAGTGTAGGAACATTGATGATTATTCGTGTAATCGAAAATCCCATTTTAAGAAACTTGAATTATTCACTTAGTGGTAAATTCAGTTTCATATTAACAAATTTTAAATACATCATTATTCGAAAAAAATCAGATTATTAATATTATATTATTCAAAAAATTGGATCAACATATTTTAAACCTTCATCAATCTACGGGTCAAATTGTCGTAATATCACAGAAATTTAATATTGATGGCGATCCCACCCCTCCCGTCAACGTCTGTTTGTCATGTAAACTGCCGCTCACCAATGAGAATTCATCAAGTGCCCATTGAACTGAAAAAGCATCAACAATTCCAATTAAATTAAGAATCTCCACTCACCCCTCGATAAATCCAGCGATGTTACCTTTCCCTGTAACACAATATCGTTAGAGCTCGACTCGGCCCTAGTGTCCCAGAACCTTATTCTTTTATCAAAGTGCCCACTTATTATGGTAGATCCTGCACCGTCCGAGGTGACGAGGTCATTGCAACTCGATCCAGCGAACTTTGTTTCAATACCTGCAATAAAAACGAGATGATTAGACTCGAGAAAAAAAAAATACTTGGAAACATTCTCGAACAAAGGGCATCTCGTCTTTGACGTTTGTATACACTTTGTGAAAAAGAAGTCCTCGGTGGGGAGGGGGAGGGAAAACGAGGGGGTGGTCGTACGCGGTCACAAGGCAACCGAGTGTAAACCGCTCTCAGGTTTCCAAGAAGCCTTCGAAAACCGCATCGCCCGCGGAAATGTAGCTAACGTTAGGGCAAAGACTATAAACTCGATAAATAACGGGGTTTCCGCTTACGCCCACCTTCACAGCGTGCCATCTCACCGCGATGTACCTTGCAGAGAGTGAGACAAGCTCACAATACAACCACGTGCCTTCAAACATATACAGCATGACACCAATTTCGATTTTGCGCTTTTTTGTACTCCCCCTCTGCCCCTTCCGCAGCGCGCAGGTTCCGCGATCAAATTCACGTGGTATATATTTACGTGAATTGATTGTACGAGGCTGGGTGGTTACGGGACTTCAGCGATTTTCTGTTACCCTCAAACTGTATTATGTATACAGTGAATAGCGAGATTTATTTGGAATTGCTATTCAAACTTTTGTTGGAACCTGATATAGTGATGGTTGTAGGACGAGGCGCGAGGGGACGTCGTGAATGAAATACGGTCAGGTGAAAAAAATGGTGAATGGAATTTTTTCATTGGAAATAATTTATGTAGATCCGACTTGGCGGGGATTTTTCGCTGCGTCGGAACGTGTTGTGATGTTTTTACAGACTCTCCCTTTCAGTGTCTATGGAAATTGAATTCAAGGAAAATTGATTGAATAAAAAAATAATAATAAGTAATGTTACCCCAAAAAATATTAAGTAAGGTGACCGCCAGGCCAAATAAACTTGCCCTCAATAAGTCAATTTGAACGATTACAAAGCTTTCATTCGGGAGCAAAAAACATATGCCGCTTTGACTTTGAAGAAAAAAAAATCGAAGTAATGGCGCTTACGCCCCTTTAGCTAGACGGGAACGATATACGTTGTTGAATAGAAAAGAACCATTTGCACCGAGCGAAGCGAGGTGTGAAACACGATTCATCGTTCATAGCAAAATGAAAAAAAAAACACTGAACATCTCCTGGCGCCACAGCCCAATTGGAATATGACAGTCATGAGGTGACAAGATCTCATGTTTGTTATCTGACAATAATTGCCATTGCTAATGCTATACGTGTCAAGAAATTTGCTCGCATGTCTACCTCATACTGCTTGATTTGATTTATTCATTCCTCGGTGGATTCATCTGTATTGTCTCCATTTCAGGGTTATGAAGTGGGTCAGGAATTGAATTTAACATTTACATGATTCGTAAGGTGTGATCATATAGTATGTACGTGGGTTATGGAGAGACTTTAATCTTCTGGTATGTGCAAAGTACTTTGCTCGATTAAATTTCATACAGCCCGTGTCAGTCGTATAACTGAGAGATTAATCCACGATGACGTAGCACGCGGTGGATACCGCAAGAGCGAGGTTTATTAATTTATTTTTCAGTTGGTGATAAAACGTTGAATGTAATGTATTTTAAGGTGTAGAGGATATGAAGTTCTCGGGGGATTAAAAGAAATGAGGAGGAGCTTCAGAAAATTGGGTGAATGGCGCAAATTTTTCGTTGTTTTATAGAGATTTTTATGGGGTTGCTGCACGAAGAAAAGTTTTTGATAAAAATTGCCTTATCGTTCTGTAAAAGTCTGTCACAGTCATCGCTTCCCTGAGTTGGGGATTTGGTTTTGATTGGATTGTTCCAGGGGGAAAGTCGACTTTCGCCAAAATCGAATTTTTTCGCCGAGTGAATGCTGATTCTGTAGTTATTGGCCCCTCTAATGCCCATGAAACCCTCGGAGGCGCCAGAAATGTCGAAATGAAAATTTTTTTTCTCGCTTCGCTCGCTCCAGGGTCGAACCACTAACCTCCAATAATTTTCTTTTTTTCCTTTCTCTATTATTAGCGAACTGAGCAATCAGAAAAATCCAACTATAATTCTCTGAATGTTCGCGTAACCAATTAATCTCTCAATCCGGCCACCAATTATCTGAGTTATCCGCTGAATCATAAATCCCCCCGCTGATCAACAAAATAATCCAATAAAAAACTCGTTCCGGTTGATGAATAATCAAGCAACCGAAAGAGCTTCCCAAAGCGGATTGAGCGGGGAATCGGCGATAAATAACTCACTGAATGTATTTTAGGAGAATCAATCCACTCAAACGAATAAAGATTTATCCGAGGGGCTATTCACAGGCGTAATCGTAGTGTCACTCGCTGATGTAATCAATTGTAATCCCAGTGAAATTAATGTAATCATTGTAATCACATGACGATTAACGTTTATAACGATTAACGATTAATGTTTATAACGATTAACGTTTCTGATGCTAATGAAACACTCGGAGGCGCCAGAAGTGTCAAAATAAAAATTTTTTTTTCACCCGCAGCCAAAGTGCCATATTTAGGCTTTTCTCCGGAGGAAAGTCGACTTTCGCCAAAATCAAATTTTTCCGTCGAGTGAACGTCGATTCTGTATTGTCTGGCCCGCCTAATGCCACTGAGACCCTCACTTAGCCCAGAAATGCAGAAATAAAAAAATTTTTTACACGAGGAACTGTACATAGTCCCNTGACGATTAACGTTTATAACGATTAACGATTAATGTTTATAACGATTAACGTTTCTGATGCTAATGAAACACTCGGAGGCGCCAGAAGTGTCACAATAAAAATTTTTTTTTCACCCGCAGCCAAAGTGCCATATTTAGGCTTTTCTCGGGAGGAAAGTCGACTTTCGCCAAAATCAAATTTTTCCGTCGAGTGAACGTCGATTCTGTATTTTCTGGCCCGCCTAATGCCACTGAGACCCTCACTTAGCCCAGAAATGCAGAAATAAAAAAATTTTTTACACGAGGAACTGTACATAGTCCCGTCAGTCTTTTTCATAAGTTGCTCTGGATTTATAAAAGGGGTTATGAAGCAATAAGAAATTATTTGAACACATATCCGTAAACATTAATATGATTTTTTTAAAAGAAGTGCGATTGAGCCTTTAAAATTTAGTAATTCAAGGCTTGGACCAAGCCTTGGCGCCAAGCATTGTTCAAGCCTTATGGACTTAGTCTGAAACGAGGTTATCATTTTGGGGCTGAAGGAGGGCTGATCCAAGGCTCCCGCCTTGGTTGAGCATTGCCAAGCCTTCCTCTAGGGCTTGATGAGTCCTGTTTCTATCGTCAATTCCTACCTGGGTCGGATTTATCTATCCATTTACAGCAAAATGAGTCATTTATGAGAATATCTCATCTTCCTGCATCGTGTTTCCTCCCCGGACAAATCCCTCCCATCAATACAATTTCACAATTTATTTCGTTCCCCTCATGTTTTTACCCGCGGTTAGCAAGAAAATTTCTAATGGCAGTGAGACGCCCAGTGAAGGCGTATCGAGTCGTTAGTGCCTTATACCTTCAAGGCCGCGAATACACCAGGGAGAATAGTAACGCCAAGTGCACTGGCGCTGACTCTCCGGATGGAGCGATTTCAGGTCCCTCGGGGGCTAGCGAGAATAGCGAAAAATATAAAATAACCAAGAGTATATGATGATGAGAAAGAGATGAATACCCCGTCCACCCCCACTCCTCTCTTCACCTTTCGGTGTGCACTTTTATATCCCAAGAAATGGAGGAATTATGCCTGCGAGTTAAAACTCTCAGTTGAAGGGGTGCTTTCACGAGAATCCCTGAAGTGCCTCTTCTCACATATTATTACGATATTTTTATAACAATATGAAAATTGTTAGTGGCTACTTGATGAATATTTGATATGCACAGTGAACCGGGTTTACCACTGTTGGAAAAAAAATTGAAATTTCACGGTGAGTTTAGTGGCAACTCTCGGGAGAACGACGTTACATTCGATTTAGAGGGGAAAAATCGGGAATTTTCATTATGGATTCGAGGGAGTTTGACATTTTTGAACTTTTGGAGGATGAGACTTCCTGAACAGAGATCCTCACCAGTTTCTGATTTACAGAAATAAATTGGTTATTTAATTTTAAATGAGTAATGCGGCAATTCAATCCCAAAAATTTACTCATTTCGAGTAAAAATGTTCGATGTTTAATTACTGAAAACATTTAATGTTCAATTCAGTAGTGAAGCGGTAAACCGAGTTAAGTCGATTTTGACTATTAGCCAGTTTTTGCTGAATATCTTGGAATCTAAGAGAGATAGCAAAATTTTTCTCATGACTTTTTTTATAACGCTTTATTAGCTCTACAAAAAAGGTCATGACAAAGATCTTTCTATCTCTTTTAGATTCCGAGATATTCGTCAAAAACTAGCCAATAGTAAAAAACGACTTAACCCGGTTTACCGCCTCGCTACTGAATTATTTCATAATTGCATCTGACGAGACGAGACGAGACTAATTCCATCCAAAAAATTTCTAGTTTTCAGTAAGAACTTTTGAACTTCAGAACTCTTCTATAAGTTAACTTCAGAACTCTCCAATTATTCTGTCAAAATTCTTAAAAATCCGGAAAATCCATGGAAAAATTGGAAATTCATGTCATTTTGTTTCCAAAAATTCGTGTTCCACTGAAAATCCAATCCCAAACCCCCGAAAGCATCGGCATCTGCAATTCACAAGCGCCCTCCAGACAATTACCCGCGCGAATCCAATTAATCACGCTGATTTCCCCGGCATAATTTCTCTCGGCCCCTCTCCCCCCAGACCAAGACCCAAAATGCGAATTACGACACGTCGTAAAATGAATTCCGCAGCCGCGGGGCGCCCAGCAAGATACCGTTAAGCTCCAGCCCGCCGCCCCTCCCCGCCAGCCCCGAACTTTTCCTTTTGCCACTTTTATTTCCCTCCCCCCGCCCCTCATTTTTCCCTCCATCCTGCAGGATAACCCCGGGGAGCATTTCTCTTATCTCAACCACTCCGGCATGCAGAGGAGCGGCGGAAGGGCGCAGGGTTGCGACCGGGCGGACAAAACTCACTAAGGGCACAGGAGGAAGTGAACTGCTTCGTAGATTTCACCACTTGTGGACGGAAATTAGATGTACCAACCGGCAACTTGTGAAAGCACACTTTTACCCGGGGGAAGGGAGGGGGCGACGGCAGAGAACTGCGAGGGATGGGAGTGGAGCGAGTACGAACAAGTCAAACTGCGCTCAAGGTAAATTTTCGAGTTAGTACATAAGGGTAAAGTCAATGAACGAAGGCGCATTAGAGAAGTAATGCAAAGCCCTGGAAGCTTGCGTAAAGTGGTGCCTCAACCAGTTCAATCCTTCTCGTTATCCCCCCACCGCCAGTCCCCCCTCCCAACTCTCACTTCCACTTCCACTTCTCTGTATACAAGATGAAAAGCAGTCGAGAGGATTCGCAAATTAATATCATCCAGACTCTCTCATTGGCTCTTTCTCTCTCTCTCCGCACTGGAAACCTATGTATAATAGTATCCTGTGTCAATAGCAAATCCCCAACAGTGTGCCAATGTATAGTATGTTCGGTATCTCTCCCGGTTTCTGGGAATTCCCTCTCTCTTTCTCAGCCCTGTTGCAACGACTGTTCGTCTGCTCGAACCCCCAAACTGTCCGGGGGGTGGGGGGCACACGGGGCGCGCTCGGGCGGTTGTCCAAAGTGCAAATCGATATCTCGAGTCGCTCTTCGGATACCGTTTCACGAGATTAGCCAGAGTCCGAACGACCAGGGTGTAAATTCCGAGCCGGATTTCCTCTCTCAAATAAAGGATAAAAGTGTGCGCACCAGCATTATCCTCCGTACTCTACTCACTCAGGCTTTCTCTCTCTCTCTCTCTCTCTCTCTCTCTCTCTCTGTCTCCCCCCCGGCCACTCCCCAATCCTCTTGGACCCTCCGCTGGCACCCGTTTCTGCATTACCTAGTCCCCTTATTTTTCCGATATTACGTTCTGAAAATTGTAGATATAGCGAAACGATATTTCACTTGGTTCACTTTAAGTAAAGTAGGATAGTATACTAGAGTTTCATAAGAAGTGCTCATTGGGGAAGGGACGGGAAAACGAGAAATTCTACCATTTACTCGTTTTTTCACAATTTTAATTTCACGGAGGATAGTGGGGGACCGATGAAATACGGTTGAATAAATTGTATTTCAGGGGAAAAGTGACTTGTGTTTTCGGTAGTAATGTGCAGCCGGGATTTGGGAAAAAGTTTGCGCGTCGGTTGATTCAATTTAACGTGAATTTTCTCAGTTGATATTAATTAGGGAATTATTCGGCGTTGGTGAATTAAGCCGGGGGAAATTGGAGCTGTCAGTCTTGGGGCTGGAGGGCTGTTTTCAGCTGTGTGTGACGCTGGAGAATGCAAACAGACGGATCTGAAATGACTGGGCAGGGAAGTGCTGGGAGACAAGTGAGGTAGATTGAAGGAGACGGGAGACGAGAGGAGAGTGCCAGGGGACAGGTGGGTCTCGAGTGGAATGAAAATGTGAAATCGGTAGGAGATAGCAACTAACGCTTATTTCCGTGCGCTTTGGGGGGAAGAATTAGCTCTGAGAGAGAACTACACTCAAAAGACAATTACTTCTCACCAGTAAAAAGTGGTACTTGGTAATTTACTTGAGAGAAATCATAAACCATAAATTAAATGACAAATCATAAATCATGAATTAAATTATAAATTAATTATTTGAATTAAATTCTTTTCGTGATCATCAGAAATGTCTCTAGAAGAAGTCGAAGTGTTGTCTCCTCTTTACATTGTTTCAAATTCTGTCGTAAAAAAAATACTTGAGGATAGTAAAACGAGCCCCTGGGATTTGCTCTTCTCTCCACTCACCTCCAATGACGGATTAACTGAGCTTCCGCGTGAATTTTTCCACTTAACGTTAATTAAAAAATTATTGAGCGCCAGTGAATTTATCAGGGGGAGATTGGAGCTGTCAGTCGCGAACCCCTTCGGTCGTTGTTTTAAGCTGTGTGTGACACTGGGAAAATGCACTCACAATATACATATGAAAATAACTATGCAGATGTACAATACACTGGTGGTAGTGGGATAGAGTTCGTTTTATTATCACGAAACGCCTCGTATAAGTGCGTTGCATAATGCAACGACTAATAGGGGGGTAATAGGGGAACGTGATTACCGTGGCGCATATAATATTTCGCGCCCCGGCCTGTACGACGATGGGGGCAACTGAGAGGGGTTTACGAGGTACCCGAGATAGGTCCATTGCTCGTTTATAAACGTGGGTGCCCGGTGAATGCCGTGGACGCCAGTATTTGCCCTTCTGATAGAGCTTTTAATGGAATTTAAAAAAACGGGAGAAAAAATGACAACACAACGCTCGACAAAATAAAACACAGCGGAGATGCTGATAAAACAGAAGCGGGTGAATGTAAATAAAAAGAAAATACTTAATGACGCCGAGTTAGTAGGTGTGTATTTGTGATGCATGTACTTACATGCACGACTGCGCAGATCCCAGATCTTGAGTGTTCGATCGTGACTACCGGTCACCACCTTGGACGGTTCACCCAGGAACTTGGCTGCCAGGACTTTAGCGCAGTGGCCTGTCAGTGTGTGCTGTAATAATGAGAGAATATTGGTTGGTTAGAATTGAAATTTCGTGAACAGTTCGGCAGTCGTTTTCGGGCGGGGGATGTTGGAGTCGATTAAAAATCGGAAACAACACTTTTAGCGATTTTTGGAAATTTTAGGGAAGATTTTGTAATAAGTTTCATGAGAGTGACATTCACTGTTAACAATTTTTGTCTGAAATTTCCGATACACCTTGTGAAATTTTTTTGATTATTTTTATCGAAATGAGGAACAAAAAGCGTGACATATTTAAATGGCCCCTGAACGAAAATACTTTTGTTTACACGGAGAGAAATATTCAGTAAAAATTAAGGGACAATTCACGTAATCCGCAGTGGGGAATCGTTTTCCGGCAATTTTCACACTTTTTATTTTACTTCGCTCGCGGATTACGTTTCGAAACGTCATTTTACGTTTTTTTTTCTGGTAATTTTTATTGAATTTTTCTCTTCGTGTACAAGTAAACGAAAAGGCACTTTTCGGTACGAGATGAGTCACGCAGCAGTGAGAAAAAACCAAACGAGTTCTACTTTTGATTTGTTTGTTGTGCTTGAAACATATGGGAGAGCAAATAATACCGGAAATATTAGTGGAATGTATTTAATGGCGTTGTTTTTATTTGCATCACTTGCCATCGGCAGTATTCATGCATTCATTTTCTTCATTCTTTTGTAGTTTTGAGGATTGCTGGATGCAATCAATTATTTCCTCATAAACCCTAATGTCTCAATAAAGATGATTTTTCGTAGTATTTTATGATGATGAAGATAAAATGGCCTAAGATGAAAAGTACCGGGGTGAGTTGTCCCAGGATGAAAAACTTCACGGAGAAAACAGTTAGGCAAGGATTATCTGTAAAATCACGCACATTTTAGTATACGGAAATGTAATCGTGCAGCGAATCGCCAATTCAGTAAGAATTACTTTTCTTGAGGATTCCTTGTGGTTCGTTAGTAAAAAATCACGTCTTGTGCAGTGAAATTTCCCACACCGGTTAGAGTATTCGTTTCTGCAACCCGTGTAAAGGGTTGAATGTGAAATTTTACCATATCGCATTTACTAACAATCATTCTGCTACAGAAAAATTTCTACACATTGACCTAAGTCAATCAACAAATGCAATTACGAAAATTTCGTTATCTCCCTTAGATTCCGAAATATTCCTCAAAAACTGGGAGATAAGTCGACTTAAACCGTTTTACCACTTCGCCACTGAAATAAACAAATAGTCTTCACATGACAAAAATCCTCATTTATTATCAATAAAGAAGTGCTTAGGATCACCCAAAAATTCCTCAATAATATAAAACCCTTCACCGAATGTAAACAGACCCTCAAATAAACCAAAATTGTCCTTGCGCATAAAAACTTTATTTCGACTGCTTAAATATCAGTCAAAAAACCCCTCAGAATGTGCTCCTCTCCCTAATTACTCGCCCTGCTCAATAACTTTCCCACCTCTTCTCTCCACACTCCTGAATCCACGCCCCGCAGTCAAAATATCCAAAAACTCCCCCCAGCGCCCCATAAAATTAAAACCCCCATCCCCCCCCCGCGACTCTAACAAGTGACCCACGATTCATTAGTCCTACCCCCTGAATCATAGTTATAAAATGAACAAAAACATCGTAAAGTAGCATACCGAGTGGTGGAGCAACATAAAAGACACATAAATAATCAAGTACAAGAAAAATTAAACCACCTCTCTTCGAGAGAGAGCGAATACAGCGGCCGCGGGGGGAGGAGGAGAGGAGAGCAGGCGAGGAGGAAAAACTGCATTGCGTAACTCTGTAAATTGTAATTGGCCATGTCAAGGTATACGAGCCGTGGTAACTTTTATAAGCTCATTGAACTCTACCGCCCGGTGAATTCTGCTCACGACGATAATTTAATCGAAACAGCACTGGGGATGAAATTATCCAACAAGTGGTCGTGGTACCTCCCAAAGGGACACACGAGAGATAGCAACGACGGAGTGAAGTATTGGGGTGGGATGAAGTGTTGGCGGGGGGTGGTT